TCCCCGCCGCGAGCCGCGCCACACTCGCAGGGGAAAGGACAGGGAGGGCGGGAAACCAGGTTAATGGGAAACGGGCGGGCGTGTCGAGAGGCGGGGCTGCGGGAATAGGCGTAGTGGGGAGGCGTAGGCAAGGGGTGGGGTGGTGGGGGGGGATAAGGTACTTGGTGGGCGTGGCGGGGCGAGGGGGTGAGAGGAGGGGAGGGGGGAGTGAGAGGAAAAGGGTGGAGAGCGGGAAGGGAGGGGGAGAGAGACAGAGACAGAGAGAGGAAGTGGAAAGGAGGGAGAGGAAAAAGGAAGAGAGGGAAGGGGAAAGAGAGTGCCCTCTCGAGAGGGCGAGAGAGATGATTTTGAGGTGTGGCTGGTCTGGGCCTCGTGTTGGGCGGGGTTGTGGGTTTCATCAGCACGCTCTGGCATTGCCCCCCCCCCCCTCTCTCTCTCTCTCATTGCTGCTCTCTCTCTTCGTCTCTCTCGTATATAGTATAATATAGTTAATATATATATATATATATATATATATATATATAATATATATATCCTCATAGCAAGAAAACTCGCTATAAACATACAGATAGGCTTAGTGAAGGAATGGGACAAATTTATCGAAATTCTCCGTTTTTTCATTATATCTTCTATCTATCTCTCCCTCCCTCCCTTTACTTTCTCTCCCTCCCGCCCTTCGGTTTTCCTCTCCCTCCCTCCGTCCCTCTTTTTGCTCTTGCTCTCCCACCTTTCCCTCCATCCTTTCCCTTTCTTTCTTTCTCCTTCCTTCCTCTTTCTCTTCCATATGACCCTGTGGGCACTGAGCACGCCACGTCTCCGCTTGCAGTCACGTTTCTTATTCTCCCGCGTATTCACCCAACAGGCGATTTTAATATTATCACGCGGACACACACACACACACACACACACACACACACACACACACACACACACACACACACACACACACACACACAACACAACACAACACACACACACACACACACCGCCCCATTGACTCGTTCCCGGGAGTGGAGTGCGGCGAGGTCGTGGCTTGCACTATTGGGAACAATATGGAGTCGTGGAGGAGGTCGTTTGTTGTCCTGCTGTGTTGGAGTCGGGTGGTCGTAGGCGGGGCGCGAAGGAAGAGGAGGAGGAGAAGAAGAAGAAGAAGAAGAGAAGATTGAAGATGATGAAGGGAGGGTGAAGGAAGGAGGAAGAGGGACGTTTTACTGGCTGGTTTGGTCGGCTGGGTTAGGATTGATAGTAATTTCATGGGCGCAGAAAGAGCCCCAATGCAAGAGCCTTGTGGGCCGAGGCGAGTCCGAGGCGAGGGCAGACGGAGCCAGGGGCGTCCGCAGTAGCAAGGACAATAGGAGGGGGACGGGGAGAGCGTGCGGCGTGAGTGCGAGAGTGGCGTCCGCTCCGCACTGGCCGCACTTGGGAGCCGGGTGCCTGGGCGGGCGGGGTTCGCAGTTGCCACCATCCGCAGGTTCGGAATGCGAGCTTCTTTTTTTTTATTCTTTTCTTTTTTTTCTGGAAGGAACTGGCGGTCCTCGTAAATCCGCGGATGCGAGGTGGCTTCCCGGGCCCGTGTGTGAAGCGGGCTGAAGCGTCCCTGCTATGCGTTTGGCGAATTTTTGAAATTGATATTATTGTAGATTTTGTACATGTCCTGTGTTTGTCTGTCTGGCGTCCGGTGTTTAGAGGAATGGCGGCCGTGTGCCTGTAGCGTCTCTTTTTTAGCATTGTAATGGTTATCCTTCTAACGTTTTTAAGAATATTATTATCACAAAAGAATTCAAGAAAATGACCGACGAAAAGAAGTGGCTAATATTCATTAGAGGAAAAGGCGGCTGCAATGCTTTCCCAGCAACGGGAATCGCGCCATCGCGTGACGTCACCTCTGCTGGAACAGTGACGTCATCCGTTGTCATGGTTACTGTGCCTTCTCACGGATTTTGATCGCGATGAGCCGAGGTTCGGAGGACGGGGGCGGGAGCAACTCGACTTGAGTTGTCAAATAAGCTCATGACACTCTCCTTTTGCCACGAATTGAGGGTATTTCTATCGCCGGTTCTATCTGGCGCCAGAGGATGAGGCGGGCTTTTGTTGGGTGGAGGAGGAGGGCGAGGGGGGAGGGGAGGAAGGGGGAGGACGGAGGAGCGAGGATCGTTTCTTCATCAAGTTTTCGGCCGCACTTGAAGTCGCTACTTCACTTGGGATTCGGGTCACTGTTTTTGACCTCCTTTCTTATTGCGCAACTAGCTTTAATATAAAGTATTCAACTTTTACGATAATTACACATGCTCACACCAACAACACTCTTCACTTTCACTAATCCCCCTTCCCCACCCCCCCCACCCCTCTCTCTCTCTCTCCTCTCTCTCTCTCTCTCTCTCTCTCCTCTCTCTCTCTCTCTCTCTCTCTCTCTCTCTCTCTCTCTCTCTCTCTCTCTCTCTCTCTCTCTCTCTTCTCTCCTCTCCTCCTCCTCCCCTTCCCCTTCCCAGTTCTGATAAAGGAACACTGGACTATCTTGTATATATGGAATATGTTTACCAAAATCAATAACATTGATGGCCTTCTAGCCAGCACAGTTGTCACTTATGAACATTCATAGGGTCGTGCTTTTGGGGAATGCAGCTGTAATTCATCCTTTAATACTTGTTGGGTTCAGCTCTGATATTACCATGATCCTAAAGGAGACCACAATAGTGTCACTGCCCAGATTGAATGTAAACCGTTGTTTGCCATTTGGATCTTTGATGGTAACAGGAGGTAAGCCAGAGCCAGATGGGGAAGCTTACACACTGTGGTGGGCTAGCAAGGCTTGTGCTGATGCTCGTAAATTAGCATTTATCAGGTTAATTAATTTCTCTCTCTCCTCCTCTCTTCTCTCTCTCTCTCCCTCTCTCTCCTCATCTCTCTCTCTCTCTCTCCTCTCTCCTCTCTCTCTCTCTCTCTCTTTCTCTCTCTCTCTCCCCTTCTTCTTCCTCTCTCCTTCCCCCTCTCCCCCCCCTTCTCCCTCTCTCTTCCCCCTCTCACCCTCATCCTTCCCCTCTCCCCCCTCCATTTTTTTTTTTTTTTTTTTTACAATCCTCCCTTTGCATTCTCTCTCACACTTCCCTCTCCCTCTCCTCTCTCTTCTCTCTCCAAATGCCCATCCCTCCTCTTCCTTCCCTCCCACCCCATCCCTCTTCACTCACTCTCTCACATTCCTTGGTTATTACTTCCATATGAATATGATGTCACAGATGGTCTGTTGAACTGTTTATTCACTCTAACTGGTTGGCAGATTTGTTGTTTCACCGTGTAAATAAAATTACTATATCTTACAAGGATATTGCAGTTGTTATTTTACTTTTAATGGACACACACAAGCTAATCATTTTTATCAGTTTTTTCACAGCCTCATCCTTCTTTTGAGTATGGAATCTTTTATCTTTGTCTCTTTTTCCATCTTTTTTTCCATATTAAATTTATTTCAGTTTCTTTCTCATTCTTCTCAGAATTTTTATGCAATTATATAGAGAAAAATGCTTAAAGTTTGTAATGAAGCCTAACCAGTCTCTCTCTCCTTTCAGTGGAAGGTATCCCCAAGATCTACTACTTTGGTGTGTGTGGGAAGTACAATGCCTTGGTCATGGAGCTCTTGGGCCCCAGCCTGGAAGACCTCTTCGACATGTGTGGCAGACGTTTCACACTCAAGACAGTCTTATTAATAGCCATACAATTAGTAAGTGTCAGAAATTTATGTTTGTGTTCAAAGGAGGAATAGTAATAGCTTGAAGAACTTGCAGTGTAATTCTGTTACATATTAGTGAAACAAATCTATAGGATTGAATGTTATTGCCAAATTATTGACTGAGTGTATTGTTTTAACCTTGCTTTTTAAAATTTAAGTATTTGCCGTGATTGATTGTTCTATTAATTTTTTTCCTACAAGTCTTGCATATATAAAGATTGAGGATTAATGTATATATGTTTTAGATTGATATTTGTATTGTATGTAATTTATATTATATTACCATACTAACAATGTCAGAAAGATTTCAAAAATTATTTAACAGTTAGATATAATGATTACTAAAATGTAATTTTCTTTTTCAGCTCCATAGGATAGAATATGTACATTCTAGAAGATTAATATATCGAGACGTGAAACCTGAAAATTTTCTCATAGGGAGAAGCTCTACTAAAAAAGACAGAATAATACACATAATAGGTAAGTGGGATATTGCAGCCCATCTAGACCATTTTCCTTTGTTGATGTGATAGTCATAGAGGTTGGTTATTGAAACAAGAATGAAAATGCTTCTAGACAGACATGATATTGCAACATTATATTTATTTTTGGCTTATCAGTTATTATTGTTCCTTTAGTCAAAAGTTGCTTTTCTTACAGACTTTGGTTTGGCCAAGGAGTACATTGACCCCACAACAAACAAGCACATCCCATACCGAGAGCACAAGTCTCTAACAGGGACTGCCCGGTACATGTCCATCAACACCCACATGGGCAAAGAACAGTCACGCAGAGACGACCTGGAGGCCCTAGGACACATGTTCATGTACTTCTTGCGAGGATCCCTCCCCTGGCAGGGACTCAAGGCCGACACCCTCAAGGAACGTTACCAAAAGATTGGGGACACAAAGAGAGCCACACCCATTGAGGCTCTCTGTGAAAATTACCCTGGTAAGAATTCTGCTGTAGTAGCCTGGATGGAATAGGAAATCTTTTGGAATTTTTTATTTTCTTTGATGTACTTTTGTTTTATTGTTGACCTTTGTAATCTAGCATTCACTTCAATGATCTCACAGTGGTAACATCATATTTAACTTCCTTGAAAAAGGAAGTTTCAGTTTCAAGTGCTTCATCTTTATTGCAGAAGAAATGGCGACATACCTACGGTATGTACGGAGGCTGGATTTCTTTGAGACCCCAGACTACGACTATCTGCGAAAGCTTTTCCAGGATCTCTTTGAAAGGAAAGGCTTTGTCGAAGATGGTGATTTTGATT